TAACATCTTCACCCCCCCCCCCTCGGCATAATAAATGTACTTTCCCTAACAATGGCACAATGCTTTTTTTCGCAGTGGAGCTGACACACGCTGCTAGCTTCCAGCGATGACTCATTGTCACATTGCGAGATGGAAAAATCGAAAAAAAGTACAAACATTTCAGATAATTTCTTTACTCTTGAAACAGTCTGCCGACATGGAAGTGATTGCAAGCAACAAAGGAGCAGCGGAAGTTTGCTATGGAGGATTCATGTATACAAAACAGATTACCAAAAAAGCCGACACTGTTTCGCAAAGGTTCGTTAAAAACTTCGCTTGACTTGACAGATCCAAAAGATCTGGTAGGACACAACCATTTACCTGATGTGACTGAAGTTTCTTTGGCAAAGCAAGAAACACAACAGGGGCGTGCTGGCCAGGGTCGAGACAACGATAACTCGTTGTGGGCCCTTGCCATCCTGGGCCCCTAAAATAAAACACTCAAATTTTTTCAAACATTGAGATTTTAATTTTCAAAATCAAGATTAAGATATTGCAGTTTACATTGTAAAAATGAGAATTCGCGAAAATATTACGGAAGAATTTTCGTATGTGGGACCGAAAAGTTACGATATGCCCGGAAAAAAATTAGTATTTACGGAAAATTGACGAAATGCCCGGAAAAATTTTTGCATTCCAGGAAAAAGTACGATATGTGCGGGAATATTTTAGTATATCGGGAAAAAATTGGCGAACTCAACCAACTCAAGCGAGCAAGGTGATGCTCGGACAAACTGATCGACTGCTTGAAGAAGGAAGATGCTACAGCGTCAACTTTAATGATGCAAGATGAACTTGGAAATCCACCAAAGAAGAAGACAAAGCGCATTTACTTCCAACTGCAACAACGCCTTAGAAACTTATGTATCCAGTATGGCGAGGGAATAAGGTCGTTGGAAAAGTTCTTGAGAGGTTTTAGTTATTGACTATACAGTATATGGCTGATATTTGAACAATAAGATCGATTATCGAACTAATATGTTACATTATACTAGATTGTTTTGATAATGCGTGATACTTTATACTTTTTTAACGATTCAACTTGTGGAACAATTCGATTTCAAAATAAATTTTTAATACGTAATTGTAGGGCATATTCTAAAACTAAGTAAACTTTTCAGTGTATTGTAATAGTATAATTAATAGTGATAATCGACTGAACGTTAAATTTAAAAGTGATAATCGACTGAACGTTTTCTTATGCATGGACAGACAGGACATTATCCTTTTGTGTACATTTATTGGGCTCATGATTTTTGGGCTCATGATTTTCTCCAGTGATTTTCAATATTTTGAGAATTTCATAAACTAGCGTTATATTTCTTAGCACGCTCGAATTATTTAACGGTTAAGTGTTACAGTGCAACTGCTACCATTGCTACCACTGCTACCATTGCTACCATTGCTACCACTGCTACCACTGCTACTACTGCTACCACTGCTACCACTGCTACCACTGCTACCACTGCTACTACTGCTACCACTGCTACCACTGCTACCACTGCTACCACTGCTACTACTGCTACCATTGCTACCATTGCTACCACTGCTACCACTGCTACCACTGCTACCACTGCTACCACTGCTACCACTGCTACCACTGCTACCACTGCTACTACTGCTACCACTGCTACCACTGCTACCATTGCTACCATTGCTACTATTGCTACCATTGTTACCACTGCTACAACTCTATCGGTTCATAGCATATCAAAATATAAGATCCCTATACTGTGATCCCTATACTGTGATCAAAATGCATGCAAAACTCATTAAAACCCTCTAAGCCAATGAGAATGCTTCTTCTGAGCACTGCGAGCTGACTCAATAGTCAGGTATTCAACATAGCTATAAAAGGGTGAAATAAGGATTTTCATCTTTGGTTGTTTGTCAGACATGAGAAACCACATTAGTGCCATTTTGTCGCGTGTGCTATTTTATAAAATAAACACCTCAAAACCATAAACTTTTAGTTCAGAAAATTACAAAGTTTCCCATAGACATTAAAAATGTTCTAGTGAAACGATTTCATGATAAATAAGTGAGCAATGGGCCCGAAAGGACGGCTAAATTATGTTTTTGTTGGGACTTCAGTTTCATGGCTTCCCGCAAAGGAAGCCATTTCAGAGAGAAGCGACAACAACGGCAAACAACCGTTGTGACCAAATTTTGATAACTTTTCCTTCTGATTCAACATGTAGTTACTAGAAAATGAGGTTGGATCAACATTACTATCTGCCTTATCGATTTAAAGTTTTATGGGGATATAAAACCCAATACAAAAAGCATTTTAAAAGCTTTAGAACTCAAATGCGGACTTTTTGAGAATTTGCACGCGGCAAGCAAGCGCATTAATTCAATACACTTATTTCAAACCACACTATGTCTGAAATGAGTTGTCATTTTAAGACTAAATTGATGAAAATAGATATAACAGTGATTTTGGAGTACCCTACTTACTTAGTGTAATTTAATACTTGAAGTATTCTTGCCAAATAGGGCACGTACGCACACAGTAATTTAATCTGGTGTCGTTTGAAACATACTTTAGCTAAAATAACAACTTGAACAAGAAGACCAACAATGGGGTTACGAAAACAGTCGAAATTGTGCCCAAATTTGCATAAACAGTTTGTCTAAAAAGATAACTTTAAACTAGATTCAACCAACATTAATGCAGTCGAATTTTGTGAGTGTTTGATCGCATATTTCTACTCAAAAATACCCTTTTAAAAATCGTATCTGCTCACTTGTGTTCCGTGTTCATCTTTCTTGTGATTTCCGACTTCTATTTTTAATAAAGTTTGGAGAAATCCTCATCTTTTTGGCTGAAAATCTCGCGCATGGTTCACAGAAAAACTTGGCCCCAAAACGTCAATACATTCGCTTTCCTTTCATGCCAAATTTTCGTTGTAGTTGATTCAGAAACCTCTTCTTTTCTTGCTTTTAAAACTTGCTGTAAAATCTTTCTTTGTAACAGAGTCGCCATTATTCATTATTTTTGGAAAACTAAGATTTTAAACTTGAAAAACTTTGCGAGTTTCTGACCGATCTTCTTGCATGATACACCGTTGAAAAGCTCGAATTTCACGTTCTATTTTCGTATCCGTTGCTAGGCAACCCGATAAACACGTGCTCAAATATCATGCCCGCAAGTTAAGGTGTCATGCCAGGGCGCATTCGGGCCCATTGTCTGTTACCCACTTGTCAATCTCAGGGCGCATTGGGCGTTAATGAGTTAACAAGATGTGGGCAGATAGGCTTGTTAAACCATTGACCACCAGTGCTCTACCACTGACGAGTCAAATCGTCTGGCGTTAGACAGAGTAAATACTAAAGTAGGGTGCATGCCCCAATGATGCCTGGAATTTAAACAAGAACACCCAACTAGTCCAAGGCCTTCTTTCACTTCTGCAATACTTTGAAGGCAAGGCCTCACACCTGTTCTCAGGCTATTAACAATGGGGGGGAGGCCTAGCACAATTTGCAAATTTGCCCTGATTTAAACCATTTTTGCCCGTCTGGTTTACACAATATAATCGCTGTTTTTTGGATAATTTATGGCTTTGGGATGAAGAATGAAAATATTTTGACTCATAAAAGGAAATACATGCACTAAAAGTTCGAAAGTTTGCTTTCTGAAATTCATAATTTACATATTTCGAATTTTGCTAGGCCTTCCCCGGTGGGTAAACCCCCAACTGAGTCCACACAAGAAGGCCAGGGACTAAGCTGAAGAACACCCATGCAGCACCACATGCAAACTTATGGTTCTGTAATCTAGGAACCACATTGGCCATCATGTTTTTGGCAACAAAGACAAACATGCATATTACCAAAACCACAGTAAAACCCCTTTTAAAAATTAGTTGCCATATTACAGTATCCCTATTCAATGGTTTGTTGATTTTCTGTTCAGATGTTCATTCTCAATAAGCTTAAAAAGCGACTTGCCAACACAAGGCCTGCCAAAAGGCCACAAGGCAAAGTCCCTGCCAGATCCAACAAACGGAAGCTTGAATTACCAAAACGAAGTAAGTAACTGCATACTTCTATATATATGCAGTGAATCCCTTAGTAGCTATGAATTTGTAGAAACAGAGTCGTTTTTGCATTGCATATTAATATGAGTAGGGGTACAGTAGATACCTTCATAGCTGTTTGCTATATAACTAAAGTGGTGGTTCTCCCAAGGTTATTAGCAAGGTTCAGATTTAACTTTCACTGCGACTACCGCTACCTTTAAGACATCATGAACCAATCAGATGCGTTTATTCCACCCGATTAACCAATCAAATACGTCTTTAGCCAGCGAAAGGTAGCGGTAGTGGAAGCCAAATCTTAATACCATAATATTCCATATACTCCAATATACCATACCATAATTGGTATTTTGTACATGGTTTAAAGGTTTAAGTGCTATACTGGAAGTTGGGGAAAACGTCAATAAAGACAATAATGCAGATATCAACTCTGAAGATATCAACAATGAGCCTGAAAATACAGCCTCAAACTCTGATACAACAATTGATGAAAGACATTATGCCTCTCTAAACAAAGAGCAAAGAAAAAGTAAACCAAATAAAGCAGTAGTAAATAAATATTTGAACGTGAAATTTGCATCCAGGAAGGAATGCCTGCAAGCAACAAGAAAAGAGGACAGACCAAGATTCATAATTGACACCTACCCATGCTTTAAAGATCCTTCTGAGGTTTGTACTGTAGTGTCTATCTGTACTTTTGCACATGCCATTAATCAGAAGTTTCTTATTTCTGCGGAATGTGTTTTTTTTTAAACTCCGTGAGTTTTCAACTTTTTCCTTTCAAACTTGGTCAGATATTGGAATTAGTCAAAATTTAGGCCAATTTAACACTCAAAAGGTGTTCTGTAACCTTAATTTGCTCACTGCTTTGCTATTTTATATTATGTACAGTACATGTACGTCCTACGATATTGTCCCCTGCTTGGATAGCATGTACAAGGTGATAGTACTTTATTGGATAGTGTTAATAATTTCAGACCAAATTTGTTTTCAAATATTTGTTACTTTTTTGAGGTGTTGGAGAAGGTTAGACGTAGTTTGTCGCAGCCAGAGGAGGAAGATGTTGGACATTATCTGAAGACATGTGTTGAAAATCTAAAGATTAAACTAGATCATCTCATATACTATGGGATTTCAAAGAGTGCACTTCGCCCGCCAACGAATATTAGTGATGGTAGAATAGTGAAAGTACAGTTAGTAGCAGTTAGAATTAGATGTCTACCGAGATATGTTTAATTTAAAGTTGTGATTTATACTGTATCCTGTTTACAGTATGTTCCATACAGATGGATTGGATATCATCGATTAGTTTCAAGCTTTTGGTCTGCAATCTCGGATCATGTTCAGTACAAATAATCGTTATTGTTACAGTACATGCATGCATATGAGGGCTACTTGCACACGTGAAGACCCGAGCTTACAGACCAACAGTTTTGAAAAATTCCTGTTGCTAGTGGTCTAAAATCTAATTATGTTTTCTAACATGGCAAGGTGATTCATTTAATGAAAGGGTTGAACAACGTCTTCAAGCCAAAAGGAAAACAGTCAACAAAGCAATTGAAAGCTAAAGAAATATTCCATGTTATTGAGGTGGGTGTTGCCCTCTGATCAGGCTGGAAAATGTCGAGCAGCGCTGCTGCCAGGAAATTTTTAACATAAGGGTAAATTACCATGGCGAACAACATGGCATACGTGCCAAGATCCAAATCTGCAATGAAATTCCTGAAAATGACCATGCCTAGATAACTCCTGATCAATCAAAGCTACAAACTTTCTTGAGTACCCATATTTGTTTAGAATGGTTACTTTTAGGGGTGGTAATTCGAGAGTGTATTGTGTCTTTTTATTAGAAAATGACCATGCATCATCCCCGGTGAAATGCTATGTTTTCTTTACTATTTCCTGAAACTTTCACCATAGGATGAGTGTGCATGGTCTTTTCTTGTAATATATTATAACTAGACACATTTCACCCTCCATGTCGGCTGTGCCATTTCTAGGCGTTGTCATTTTCAGAACTTTCACCCCGGAATCGGGTTTCGGGACATATGCAATGTTGTTTACCCTGATAATTTTATCCTAAAACATTTGAGATTACTTGTCTTAAATGAAACGCATATACGAACTCCTATAGCTGGGTTTCAATCACGTGAGTCACTGACATTTTAGCACTTGGTGGTCGATCGAGTTCATTGTTCATTATATGTATTCGCCTTGTGTTTAGTAGCAATCACAAGGCATAAAGCGACGATATGTGCAAAGTTGACCACCATGTGTTTCCCTATGAAAAAGGCCTAGTGAAACCCACCTATACAGGTCCTGGACTAGAATGGCAACAATGTTCATCTTACTTTCTTTATTGCATTTGTTTGAGTATCAAAGGGAAAATTATGGTAAACGTGAAAAATTGTGATCATTTACTTTGTTGCATCATGGTACATTTGGCTTACATTAATTCTATTTGTATCACTGTAGGGCGATGAAGGACCTTGTGACTGGCAACGAAAGCGATCATCTTATATACCAGGGCTTGCTGTGTCATCAAATGGCGCAGCATTACTGCTTGGGAGAGATATCTTCATAATCTTCAGTGCAGGTGAAATGGTTGAAGCTGTCATTACACTTATAGCCAGCTTCTACCTCATGGATCTCGATTATCCTTCAGGATTGCTAGTTGGATTATCTATCATGCAACAAATTTGTTTTGGTGATAGTGTAATCCACCCGGATGGCAAGGACGATGTCATCAAAGCATGGAATGACTTACAGAAATACTGTAGTGATTAAGAACTTTAAGAACTTTAAAAAGACATTTATTGCTTTGAGTTGAGTTTATTTGTTTCAAGGCATTGTTGAAACTTTGCTTGTGCAATGCCAATGGTTATACGAAATCTCTTGCCGAATTTTACACAATGTGCCGTCTGATACCACTTACTGTTGATCATTGGCAATAGACCTTTCCCCTGATAACTAAAATTTTGATCTTGACAAAAATTTTATCACAGTTTGAAAGAGCATCACAAGATTAGTAATATTCCGAAGTTTCGTTGCGAAATGTTGTAAAATGCGGATAATACAGCCCTGCTAATTTTGTATATTTTAGTATTACGCGCGGGAAAGTGACGGCCTGTTTTGAAAAGAGGCTATCGATTTCCCGCGCGTAAAACTAAAATATAAAAAATTTGCGAAATTCGCAGGGCTGTATTATCCGCAGTTTACAACATTTCGCAACGAAACTTCGGAATATTACTAATTTTGTGATGCTATTTCAAACTGTGATGAAGTTTTTGTGCAGACTTGTCTAGATCAAAAGTTTAGTTATAAGGGGATAGGTCTATTGCGTATATTGTTATGCCTGACGTTCACTGTTTTACGTATATTTTAGATGTCTGCGATGTCGGCAACATGTTGTTATAGCGTATGGGTTGCGTTAAATGTTATTAGTTACGTTGCATATAGGGTCATATAAAATAAATAAAGTGCTATATGCATGACAAAATCTTATCTGGATTATTATGCATGGTTAATGTGTTAAAGATATTTAATGTTACTGTTACTGTTACTGTTACTGTATGAGTTTGTTTCTAATAAGCCGATTTTTAAGAAAAAATAACTTGATTCAAGATATTTTCAAATGCTGTTCTAAAATTAAGATTTAACTTATCTTGATTTAAGAAAAAATATCTTGGTACATGACGTATCTTTCACCGATCGCGCCATTCTTGTTTAAAGAACATTTTCTTAAAAATAGAATGTTTTTCCTTGAAACTAGCTCTTCTGGCAAGAAAAGTTTTCTTGTTTTGAGCATTTATTTTCTTGCCAAGAAATCTTGTCTATCTGAAATCTATATATATATATATATATAAAATACTCATTAAAAATTCATAAACCTTGTGGCAAATCATGTCAGCCATGATATGTCACGTGGAGTGACTTTATATCCGATAAAACTCGTCTTCATTAGTATTCTTTATATAATTGTTCATCCTAATTAGTATGATTATATAATTGTTCATCCTAATTAGTATTCTTTTGTTGTCGTATTTTAAGCTATTCAAAACACGAGAAGGAGTGTTTTATCATATCTAAAACGCTCGGCTGCGCCTCGCGTTTTAAATATGATAAAACACTCCTTCTCGTGTTTTAATTATTTAAGAAATAAAGTACAAAACAAACGTTGTTACTCAGAGTTTCATGCCTGCATGAGTTTACAGACAATCTTCGGACAACTAAAGTTCTGCTTACTAAATTTAACCGTTTGGTTTTGTTTGCTTGCGCTTGCATGCTTGCACGTTCTTCCGTCGTGTGTGACGGCGCACGTTGTTGGATTGCACGCGAATGTATTTTCCCGCCAGAAATTGTTTTCGATGGACGCAATTCGAGAATATTTCGCTTCTTTTGTTGAACAGCGTGTTGCACTCGCATATCGTCGAAATGAGTTTGGTGACCCCAACTTTTTTTTCTGTTTTTACTATGAGCATATCATAAACTTCACCCCTGGGAAGTTGCAGCAAATTCTCATGCTATACAATACTTTGATGATTCCCAGAACAGTACTGTTGAATCACCTTGAATGTTATTTTTCTAATATCCTTTAGATGAGTGCAAATATTTGATGGAGTGAAAAAACCCCAGTTAATTGGCTTCTGCAGCTCTCACAGGTGAATATGAGAAGCAAGTATTCAAAAGTTCACCAGATGACCTCAAGTCAGTGAAAATATCCAGTCTGTCTGAGGAGCAAAAGAGTAAATTTATTTTACAGCACAGGTAGAAGCTTTTGGGGGAGGTAACATTTGTGATTGTATCTCACACTAACTTGGTACATTTCTATCGAGCGCCTCTTCACGAATAAAAACATCTTCCATTATACTGAGTAAAATAATAAAGCAATACAACTTAACAGGTTAGTCTTGGCATACAGTACATAATCATGTACTAGCTTGAAAGCTCTATCTTGTGTGTGAAAAATACAAACTTCTGATGAGGCCCTTTTTATGTGATACAACATCACACACAAGATTCAAACACCAAGAAAACCCTTAAAAATTAACATAATATTTACCAGGCCCACATTATTCTTAAAATTCAATCTTGTTCCCAGAGCCAAAATGTTTCACTGGTTGGTCATTTGACAATGCATTTATATAAAAAATAGGCTGGTCTTTGACTGGTGAAAAGTGTCACAAAGAGCACTGTATATCACTATAGCATTATTAAAAATAGAATATATGATTAAATATGAATTTTGAAAAATACCAAAATATATTTTAGAACGTGTTTTGCAATAGATACTTGTTTTAGAAGATTTGTGATGTAATATATCCACACTACTGCTGGACAATAAAGGGGAGGTTTTGTGTCTTGGATCGCAGCATGGAACAGAATTTTTGTTTTCGCGTCCAGAGATTGGTTTTCAATTTTGTGAATACTTTGATGTGTATAATTTTTGTCCATGTTTATTTCAAATTATTATATTAAACTATTATTAAATTATTATTATTATATCAAATTATTATTTTATGTTAACTATATACAAAGACAATACTTCACAACAAATTGATTTAGGGAGACCTGATATTAATTTGGCGACTAGATCTTATTCATTGGTACTTTGAATAAATTGGTATTTGGACAATTCAGTGTTTAATTAAAATTTTCAACCCCTGGAAACCATTGACTATGCAAAAAAGGTGTAACAACGATTTTAGTACCACGAAAATACTATACGTACTGTAAGTAACTTACTGTACTTAGTACTGTACTTAGTAAGCAACGTTGCATGAAATTGCAGCAACAAAAATTTTGAGAACTGTGTTCTGCAGAAAAAAAGAGTTAACTTGGTACATGATGTTACTGATATACTGTATGTTCAAATCCATCCACAAATATTGGGAATGTTAATGACATCTTGTTTTTTCTTAATAGGAAATAACTCGCAAGAACGTACTACCAGTGACGTTCAAAGGCTATTTAAGAAATACGAGTAAGTATATTTTGTACAGGATGTATAAAAAAGTACAGTAGACAATTTTAAAATGTATTTTTGTGGCCACCACTGGAAGCAACTTGTAACAGATTCTAGAGGGGGGTGTCTAAAACTTTTAGTTCTTGGTATCCCAGTTGGATACTGAGAAAAATATCAAATGTCAGACCCTGGAATGCGTAATTGGTTTATGTATAATGATATGCAAAGATGTCAGCGTCATGTAGCGCAGGCGATAGTCTGGCACAGGTAATACCGAATACTCTCAATTGAGAACATATGGGTAATACGCCTTGAGGTGTATACTGAACAGGTGGCGATTGAGGGTACTGTCTGTTCACAGAGTATGAGACTTATATCAGAAAAATGCAGTTTCTATATGACTATGCTTTTATAGCTATAAAGATAGTTTAGGGGTGAAATTATTTATTTAGCTAATATAGACGAGCATGATATAAATGCGGAACAAGACAAAAAATTATATAGAGATATGATATACTAGACAAATATATTATATTTCATGTTATTTATAAAGTAAATAAATAATGTGTCTGCCTGTACTGGCTACAGTCATAGAATATTGTATAAGTTGTATAACTAAATTTCGTGATATAAATTGAGCTACGAGAGTTTAAATTGACAATTGAAATATAAAATTCCAAATAAAGAAAATTAATATAAATAGACATGCAAAAATAGCCAAAATAATTAAATTACAACCTCGTTCCCAGGCTCTTTCCTCTACGCTCCTCGCTGGAGAAAATACCCTGGCTGGGGCTGGTCACGTGACCCATAGAAAATTGATAGCCTATTAGGGGGATGGGAAAGTCTCATATTACATGTTTCCACTTCCGCACTTCACATTTCGATTGCGAGGAGTGGCCGCCTGAACAATCATTTTTCAGAATCATATATACTTCAAAATACTTGCTAAAAATTGGTTTTGTTTGCTTTTAAATTATACAAACCTGCTAAACTGTATATTATTATAGAACGGACAAGTCATAAAATCAAGCAACGAAAACGTATGATCGTATGCTTTGAAATATTTGCCCTTTTATTCTCTCGGGGTTCGGGCGCAGTTTCATTTCACGCGTACGTTTCTGTTCTGCCTCCGCGGTTCAGATATTTACTGTAAAATATTCTTATAATATGTCATTGAATTGCTGTTATATGGAACGGTATAAATTTGTTAAGTAGAGGTCCGGCTCACTAGCGACTGTGTAGGTCGTAGCGCCTTGGTGGTCTTACAGCAAACGTTACACATTTGGACACTAGCCAAATAGACATCGAATGTCTATTCAATAGATTATACTAGAAGTTACTATCGCAAGGAAAGTGCTGCCTCATCCCCAAGGGGTCAAAGGCAGCATGCACAATTTGCTGAATAAGCGGCTGTTTTTATGATCCCGCTTTGCCAGGATGATATATGAGGCGGGATGATTTAGATGTATTTAAATAAGTCACGGTGTACACTTCACCAAAACTTCATTATTTTCGAGAGATAGCAATAGTTATCTGTAAACTGAAAGGTTGTTCAAGCAGCAATAATAATCTTCTTGAACTACAAGATCTGCTCTACAACATTTGAGTTTTGTTAACCAGCATTTGGACTTTCGTTTAGCCTATATGGACGTATTTCAATACATCAAAATTATCCCACATTCCATCATGTAAACAGCCCCTTAGCCTAAGATGCCTGTTCAGGAGGTAGGGAAAGTGCAATTTGAATACCAAACACCTTGCACAAAGTCAAAGGTCAGCTAAATATTCTAATTCTACTTTCTTGGCATGCCAAATTTATATGAATTCCTTAAATGCTTATAACTTCTTGTTTTTGTATGTATAATTAGAATTACTGTCAGCACTGGTGAAGCTAGCCATAGTAACAGCTAGGTCATGCTATGGTTTTTAATGATTTGCATTGCAGGTCTATTAGCATACCATGACCAGTTACCATGGCTAGCTTGCCACTCAATACTGAACAATAATAGTTATAATACCATATGTACGTATAAACAATAATAATACTTGAATGAATCATTGGACACATAGAATTTAATAACAATTTCATATATAGAAATACTAAGTCAGTTTTTTCCCCAATTATTGTTTTAATGGCACCTTCAAGGCTACCTCTATTGTAGAACAACTGAACAATCTGCTGATGGGAGACAAAATCTATATTTGTCGACATTTTTGTTTAATATGTCAGCTTCAGATGGCACCATTCATTTGTAAGACTAAGATAGTACACACTCAGAACTGCAAAACTATATAAGAAAGAAATTGTGAGCATTATGCACCAGTCAGTGGAATACCCCGCACCCTCCTACCCGGGGAACAGCGGGACATTAGACCAAGACCTTGCTCTATTTCGCTCTCCGCTATAAGGGCCACTCCCACTTGCCTAAACACAAATAATGTCCCTGCTCTCCGGGCCCACCATACAATATCTACAAAGAATATCTGTCTAAAGCATTCATTGCTCATTCCCAGTCCTTTTTCGTTTTCAAGATGGCGGCTATGTCTAATCCCCGATATAAGTCCTGCCAAAGTCCCCGGTACCTGATAATATAACTAATACAGTCTAAATCCCTGTGTAGCATGGTCGAATATAAGGTTCAATCTCTCAATAATTCCCCGCTATTCCCCAGGTAGGGGGGTGTGGGGCATTCCACTGACTGGTGCATTATCAAAAATCCTGAAATGTGGTGGTGACACAGCCAGGTCAAATGGTGAATACATGAAGGCCAGTAGGATTATTTCGTATTGTGCTAACAATGGACATATCTCAGAGGTATATTTTTACAGTCTGACCATCATACCTTGTAACTGCTGGTAACTCAGTTAATATATGCAGACAACAATCCACACTGGGTTGCTATAGGATAATAGGAATATATTTATACACAATATTCTGCGTGATGAATAATATGCTACATTAATAAATGAAATATATTTAAAGCTAAATCCTCTTAACCGCGGAGCTAAACATTCATAGCCATGGGTGCATTTTAATATTTAATATGTATGACAGACTATGTTTTAGGCTAGTACACACAGACATTTCTCATAATAAATAGTGTATGAAAATATATGATATAGTGTATGAAAATATATGATATACATAATTCGCGCTGTGAATTGAGCAATAGAAGAAAAGAAAAAATCGAGCAAATTGACATACCTCTAAACGATCTCCCTTTCTCACAAAACTTGAAGTATTAAAGGCCAGTATTTATACAAAGTATGTCTTTGCTTCGCTCCTGACCTCGACACCTCGTGTTAAAATGCTACAAAGCTTTGCTGATCAAAATATTTTTAAACGCCATACTTGGTACGTCGCTCGCAGTCGCTAAACAAAGTATTCGGCAGTCATCGATTTGCTATTTTGAATTCCTGGGGTATGATAACGCTCCAATGCAAATTCCTTACTGCAACGTCATAATATGACGTCACAACTGCCGACACAAAATCGAGATGAGCTTCAGTATATAAAACTGTTGGCGGGAAATTCAAATGCGTTATAACACATCGTCAAGAATAGGAGGCTGCCTTCGGCAGCAAAAAGCGTTTATAAGCATAGTGCTCTAGATTTTCTTCAAAAGATAGGTTATCATCGTTTATATAAAACACCAGGTAGGAAGGAGTGTTACTGTGTTAACGTACAATATTGTTTGGGATCAACAGTACAGAAGTATAAGACAATGCACTACCGTATGCTTTTCCTTTTTTGTCTGCACGAATCACTGTATGTTGAAGCCAAAATATTGCACAACATTTCCTATATAATTCTTTAGCCATTTACCCTCGCTCCTTGAATGCAAAGGAATGATAGCTGATAAGTTTTAGCAAAGTAGTTTTTATTTTATCTGGTATAAAGTGTCCCTACATTTAATCAGGGATACATATTAAATTCATAAACAGTATAAATGTGCGCGCGAAATCTCGCTCATAGAATTCTTGAATGAATATAGTATAAAATATTTAGAGTTTCCATTGATAGATAGGTTATTTGTCTCCAGTATCGTTTGGTGAAACTTCTAGAAGGTCGATCACAGTATACGATAAAGTTTACTGCATGAATAAAAGTTGATATATAAATATTGACATATTGTCTTGATGACCCACAGCGGTCATGATACAAGTCGAAAGAAGCTGGATTTTAAGCGGGATTATTCTTCAAATAAAGCCCAATGGGGCAATGACAATGCCAATGAAAGGTTTTTAAACGATTTTTAATGTACCTGCTGTAAATTACTCGAATACATGAAATATGAAATAACTTGCTATAAAGTACAATACCAGTGTCTGGTCGCATGTTTGTGCTAAATATCCAAGTTGTACCGCACGCATGCAGGAGTATATTTGGCGTTTGTGTGATAACAGATAGCTTTAGTATTATCGTATAGCCAGTATAACGCTCAAAACTACATGTTTTTAGCTAACTGTAATACGCACGCAATAGAACTCTCTTGTAGTTTTGGTGCTTTCCCATCTAATGACGTCACAAAGTTCATTGACCTTCGAGATCATTTTTCAAAATTGTTTTCCAAGATGGCGGCGAAACACAAAGTTTGCATTCATTTTACTCGTGGACTAAAATGTTCGAGAAGGAAATGATAATATTTTCATAGTTAGGTCGTCAAGTAGGATTGAAATAGCCAATAAAAATTTTCGTTGCCATTGTCCTTTAACATTTTATTTGTTTAATGTTGTTTCTCAAAGTAACCCCTGCAAATTTGCAAAATCGTTTAAAAAGCAGATATATTTTCAAATAGTGTCTGTTATTATGATGTCGTAATGCAGTCATCAAAGTGAAATTTAAATTTGACCGACCAGTGTTCGCCATTTCCATGACAATCCGCCTTATTTTTGAGATCAGTGGGAAGTCCACCCTTGGAACATAGCATGCAGACGCCCGCAATGTTTGATGAACTTCACACTTCGCTAATACTTTCCTTTCCCCGGGTGTAAATAGCTGGCTTGGGGATAACTATTTACAGGTATAATTTCTACTTTGAAGAAAGTATAACTACACTGTTAAAAATTGATGTTTTTTTACAGAAAAAATGCTGTAAAATTTTACAGTGATTTTTCTGTTGTTACAAATTACAGTCTTATTAGCTGTAAGAAAACTCTTTTTTGTTTTTTTACGAGATAATTATGGTAATTTTACAAGTAGTTTGCAGCAAATATGCAACACAGAAAAAACTATGTGAAAATACAAATTTATGTATTTTTACAAATCTAATATTAATAATCTGTAAAAGTATAATAATACCTAATTTATAACGATATGATAATTTATAGTTGGTTAATGAAAATTACGGCAAAAATGGCTGTAAAACCCTAAAATATACAGTAAAAATTTACTTTTAACAATTATTACAATTTATTACAATTTATGAAATTTATTTTCGTTGATTTCGTAATCTGAGGCTTAGCACTAGGTAAGCTCACTGTGAAATGTTAAAGTTCTAAATATGAAGATTGAATTTTTGGTGGTTATTTTTGACAAAGTCAATTTCAAGGGCACCAAATAACAGGGTTGTAAAGAAATGTTGTATGAACTGATGAACACATTTCTTCCTTCGCTTACAACCATGCAGAGGCTTGCAACTAGAGCAACTGTAAAGCAACTGTTCATTTGCAGCTGCAAACGACGGTAATATATCGGCGTAAACCAGTAAACTCAAAAGGTCTATTGAGTTCACTGGCGTAAACAAGTTGCATCAGTCAGAAGCATCATGTGCGATCACGTGAACAGATGCGTGAAATCTATCACGTTCAAACAAAACATGCATCGCTAAGCAAATTATTTTACTGGCAAAATGTAACAAGCTCGTACAGTAATTTTGCAACCGAAGACTGCGAAATTGAAGCTTTTTTGTCTCATTAAATTTACATTGCTGGGTGTCGTGGAGTTGTCCAAGTCCAAATAAACATTTCCTCGATCATGTAAGTGCCTGCTTTAAGTTTAATGCTTTATAAACGTTTATAGCTTTGTGTATATTCTTCCTCAAGCACTGCATGATAGCTGTAAGAAATGCTCTTTACCGTCTTTAGTATTTGTTTTAAACTTGCTGGTTTTTTCGTTCCTAAATTCTAAAATGTACCACTGTAAATCGTGCTCAAATCGAAGCCGTTCTTTAAAAGATTATGTCGAGCACTACAGACTGCACTTTAACGAAGCAAATATTCACTTTCCTTGTGCTGTGAGAGGTTGTATTCGCAAATTTCAAACCTTCAGCGCGTTTAAATCGCATGTTTCTCGCGATCATCAAAACTCCAGGCGGGAAAAATCTAAATCCGTTGTTGTTGACATGACGATCAAATGCCCTTTTAGTTTTTGCTTAAAAATTTTGCCAAATATAAAAGACATGCTAGGACATCTAAAAGAACATATTGCGCATGGACTTGAAATTACATGCCCATTTCAAGGGTGTACTTCGTCATTTACAGTTAAGTCGTCATTCACTTCGCATCTAAGTAGGCGACATAAAAGTGTTGAGAACAGGCTTATTACCCCTGAATTACTTATCAACAGCCAGGAAAACCAAAATATCATTTTCGAAAACAATAATAGCACTGATTTTGAGGAAGATGCACCGTCTGAAGGTGATGACCAATCTATGTCAAGTGGTAATGGAGAAATAGAATCAGACATAAGTGATTTATTCGTCAAAAATCTAGCATTATTTTATTTGAAATTGAATGCTAAATATCCTGTACCCTCTAGCACTGTTCAAAAAGTTATCGAAGAAATGCAATCGATGCACAGCATATCTCAAAACTTATTAAAGCAGCGTATTAAAAGAAAACTGACAGAATTTTCTGTAGAAAAAGAAGTAGTTGATGAAGTTGTTCAGGATTTTATTTCAAATGATATATATAATTCTGTACATTGTGAGAAAGGAATTCTCAGCACTAATTTCAGACGTAAACAATTTTTCAAAGACAACTTCAGATATGTGGAGCCAGTCACAATAAATCTTGGTTTCGATAAAAACAAGATTAAAAGGTATTGTGAATATGTGCCAATAATTGAAACTATTCAAGAACTTTTGAAAGATCCTAGTGTTAAAGCCCAGTTTAAGAATCCTTGTTCAAGTTCTGACGGTGTGCTAAGAGATTTCATGGATGGCAGTGTTGCAAAAAAAAACCTCCTTTTCATAGAACTTGAAAATGCTATTAAATTAATTCTTTACCAGGACGCTTTTGAAGTAGTAAATCCTTTAGGGTCAGCCAAACGAAAGCATAAAATTCTTGCTGTTTATGTTATCTTGGGAAACATTTTTCCACAAAACAGATCTAAAATTGATCAGATGCAACTTGTTTTACTCGTTCGGGAAATTGATTTTAAGTATTTTGGCCAAGAAGCGGTGTTTCGTGTGCTGGTGAATGACCTTAAAAAAATAGAACAAATAGGAGTCCTAGTAGATGACAAGCGTGTCAAAGGCACTGTTGCCATGATTACAGGTGATAATCTAGGAAGCCATTGCATAGGAGGTTTTGTTGAAAATTTCAGTAGCTGCATGTATGTTTGTAGATATTGTCTCTTTAGAACAGAAGAAATTGAGCATGGGAATGTTCTTGACACATATTCTACAAGGTCACCAGAAAACTATCAAAACGATTTACATTGTCTTGAGGTTAACCCTGCCCTTAATAACATTCGTGGTATCAAATTCAACTCAATTTTTAATGAGCTCGAGCATTTTCATGTGTGCAATCCAGGTTTACCTCCATGTTTAGGTCATGATTTATTCGAAGGCGTTGTACAATATGATTTGGCCCTGTTTATTAATTTTATGATTAAAGTGAAAAAATGGTTTACTTATGTCCAGCTAAATCATATTATTACTAAATTTAAGTATAATGGGTCAGATTGCAATAATAAGCCTAGTACAGTTGGTGATCAAGGACATAAGTTAGGTGGTCATGCGGTTCAGAACTGGTGCTTACTCCGTCTTTTGCCAGTGCTCATTGCTTTGAAAGTTGGGGATACCAATGACCCTGTGTGGCATGTAACTCTGCTACTTAGAGAAATTGTTAAACTTGTCTGTGCGCCAGAAATAAATGTGGCACAAGTTGCATACTTAAAAGTTCTTATCGAAGAGTATTTGGATGAAAGAATATCCCTTTTTCCTGAGAAGCAAGTGAGACCAAAACATCATTTTATGGCCCATTACCCAGGGCTAATTATGCAATTCGGACCACTGATAAGAGTCTGGACACTTAGGTTTGAAAGTAAACATTCCTACTTTAAAAAATGTGCCCGAAACAGCCAGAATTTCATAAACATATGTCATACTTTTGCAGAGCGCCACCAACTTTTCCAGGCATATCTCAGCAATGGTTCTCTTTTTGACGTTGAAGCTAGTCTTGAAAATGCTATCCCTTTCAATGAGGATCTGTACAATGATAGCATCAAAGATTCATTTTTTAGGCATCATTGTTCAGTTGAGGATGTGTTGACTTCTTGCTCTTGCAATATTAATGGTGTTCAGTACAAAAAAGGTCTTTTTGTAGTTGTTGAAAATAATGAATTGTCTCTAATATTTGGCAAAATTGTGATGCTTTTTCAACATAAGGACAACTCCATTTGTATTTTGGTTCAGAAAACCTCAGCTACTTACAATTCTAACAGGGGCTTCTACCAGGTTGAACAAAGCAGGGCTGCACCAATTGTATGTACCAAATTTTCAGATCTCAAATCAAACTGTTGCTTGCCCTCTTATAGAGTAAATCATGAAGAAGTTATTGTCCTTCAGCATGCTATTGTTACCTAGGTTGACAAATCTTGATTCACTGGCTGGATATATCTAACTAATACGTGCTTTCAAATTTAATGATGCATTTGTTTTGGCAAGAAGTTGCATTTTTTTTAACTTGAACAGTGCACAAGGGTTTCTGTACGGTTAGGCCACAGAAGTACATTGTGGGTTTCCACATTTTTCAATATGACCTTAACACACATCACAGCATCAGTTATTGTTCCTGTACGTTGTAATTTTTCCCTGTTTGTTGTTTATCTAGCTGAAAGTGCTACTTGTCTACCCACTAGTCTGACTGGCTGCTTGATATGGATGAAGTTATTAAATTGATTTGTCACATTTTGCCTCAGTTGTCACCAGAAGTGTTAGAAAACACTCAAGATAAATTAGTTGAAATAGGAGTTGGGGATGTCATTGATTTACAACATCTTGAAGAAAATGACCTTACTTTAGTTCTTAGACCTATTCAGATTCGTAAATTACTGCAGCACTTCAAAGCAGGTGTGTATTGAAATTTAGGAAATATAGACTCACCCATTATTGCATTTAAATCAATTTTTATTTTGAGACTGTATCAAACTTTCAATTAATATTAATTCTGCTATTTATTACTATATATTTCCTGCTGAATTTCTTCAGACTAAACTAAGCTTCTTTGCAATAAAAACTCACTGGTGTTTGATGGATTACAGCTCACTATACCTCTTGCGAGAAAATTCAGCGGAGTTTAATAGGTTATCCAGGGCCAAGTACTGCTGTCATTGTCTAATAAATATGCTTCGATCTACTTTTACTTTGTTGTTTAGTTAAAAATCTTATTTTAGAATCACTCAGGTCACCTTCCTCTAGCAAGGACAACTCCATAACGACACCAGCAAATTTGAATGAGAGTCTCGGTAGCTCGTCGAGCTCTAGCAGAAGTTCTCCAATGCTCTTTGGGGACACAGACACGCAATCTGATGTAGATGATATTAGCAAAACGAAATGTACGGCTAAACCTTGCACCTATTGGATAAACGATTACAAGATCCCTTGGAATATGTTTTCGAAGACGCTATTAGAAGCTTGCACCCGAAAGGCTCGACCAAAACCTCGTGAACGACGTGAAATGATCAGAATCCTTTGCGATGATATAAGAGGATTTGCAGCAGTTCCTGGAAGAAAGAATCTGTCACGAATAGCACAAATGATGGTGGCAAAATACAAAGATTCATTCTGTGATGTTATTGGCGATTCTGTGATTGGTTCTGGACATGAATCCTTATTAAGACAGATGGAAGAAAGAATTGCTAATTTAAACAGAAAAGTTGGTAAACCTGCAGCTAAGTTAAGTATTTCCAGCGATGATGAGGATTCTGAACCAAAGAGCAAATCTCGAAAAACGGTTATTCACGACTCATATGGTTGTGTGAATTGGCAGCCAGAGTCGTTACCTACTGATGAAACCACGGACACCCAAGAGTCAAAACAAGATTGGCTTATGGAGGAATTTCGAAAGAAAGAACAGGATAGAAAGAAGGTTTTGTTGTTCATGGAGAATACGTACACTTCACAGCGTTTGGTGATTAATAGGAATAACCCAGATAGCCCAATTGGAGAAGTTAAAGATAAATGGCCCTTCCTTTTTGAAAAGGAATGTATGTTTCTTCATTTTGAGCAGTTGATGGGATTCAAGATACAAGATGTCATGCAAGCGAGTCTAGCGAGTAAAGCTAAAATCATAGTGGAATATTTGAGACAAAATCACATACAGAAAAAGAAGATTAAGCAAGTGTTGTGGAGAATCGAAGCTGCTATGTCGTCGAAGAAAGACCAGCAGCCTGTGATGATTGGTGTATTCTTGCTGCTCTTGGCATATTTTGAAGAAAAACAAGAATTAATGATCAGATCAGATGTAGATGTAAGTTTCAATTGTAACTGTTATGTAATGTATTACGTATGCACTCCTATATAGCCAGCCAAGCATTTGTATTAACAGACATATAATAACTGGCTATATGGAAGGTATTAACATACAGGCATTTAACTGAATTAAATATTAAATATCTAACAGCTTATCAGCTAGTGTCAATAACCTTTGTAATTTTAAGAACCGAGGTAAGTTTCTGAAGAATGGTTCAGCGTTTTGTGGAGTCACTTGTAAATCACATCAGGGTAATTCCATGGTGACTCATGTTACATTCTGAACCAAACTATCAGAGCCATTTTGAACTGGTGTAATAACTAATGTATTTTTTATGTCACATTTTTGCATGTATGTACAAGTAGTACAGTAGCTACTGATTCACAGTAAAAATTAAACATTTGATTATAACATGATAAGGTTGGTGGCCGTAAATTGGTGTGTGACCCCTGTTACGACAAAGTGACATGACGTAGCTAATACCAACCTAACTACTTCTGAATTTCTTCGGGAACCATAGGAAGGAGGAACATACAATGTCTATCGTGTAACAGACTATTTGTTAGGCAAACTACCAACACAAAGAATTTTTTTATTTTGGATTACAATAGTAAGGATTGCTTCATAATACATGTGACTCATGTTACGTCACTCATGTTACATATAAAATACAGCTTCATATTTCAGTTCAGAATTGTTTCCAATAGCTTCTGAAAATTCTTGGCAACTTTTTTTTTCAAAAAATGTCATCACTACTATGGAATTACCCATCAATGCATATTTGAGATAAAGTTCTTTTGATTGATTCTCCGCATTGTAAGTTGACATACGTATATGGCTGAGAATCAATCAAAAGAACTTTGTCTCAAGTTAGCATGCATTGATGTGTACAAGATACTCCTCAAAACGTTGAACCATACATTCTTAAAGTTAACAGACGTTTTGATAAGCAGTGAAAAATTTAATTCAGTTTTATTATCCATTTTGAATGTTGTTAGAAGGGTTCTTCTGAAGGAATGTTGTGTATGTGAAATGTAAATTGACTAATACTTTTTGTAATTTTCTGATTAAGGAAACTGTCAGCAATGAAGAAATACTTAAACAATGTCCAAAGTCGCCATTTTTAGTTATATTTGGTAAGCAATGTACAGTAATGTATAAGTGCTAATGAAATCAATTCAACCTCACTCCAATTTTGTTAGACTTAACATGTTACTCAATTAACAGCTAGCAATGTGCCTAGATGCGCCTATGTTAGCATGTTACTTTCTCTAACGCCAGATGATTTAACTCGTCATTGGAAGAGTTGACTGCCAGTTAATGGGTTAACAGAACTGTACTATCTGCCACTGTCTCTTGCAACCCATTATCTGGCAATGAACCCGAACACACCTTAACTTTAGTATTTTACTCTGTCTAATGCCAGATGATTTTACTTGTCAATGGAAGAGTACTGACATTTTAAACGGGGACCACGGAACAATTTTTGGTTGATGGGCCAAAGGCAGAGCTTCCTATGGGTGGGGGAGGGGGACCCAATAGGGAATCTTATAAGTCTGTCAGAGCCCCGGACATGCAATCAAGTATTCACCAGTTGCAGTTTAAAACGTTGTAACGGATTATAATTTACCACAATTCTATCCCAAATTAATTAATTACAGGAAATCACAGACCTGTGACTACAACCATGCTATAATCTGACGAATATTTCAAAATGTTGTCTTCAAAGTTATTTCGTGCTGTCTCTTTTCAACAAGTTTATTTTCAGTGCAAAAACTTTATTTATTTTTGCTGTCTTTTGATGGAATTTTTGCTTGGTACCTATATGCGCTACTCAAGAATGCTGCATGTTGTGACCTCGCTTTCATGTAATGCCACTGTTTGCTTTTGTATATTACAGTTCTGTTAGTTGGTGGGCTAGCCCATCAACAGAGGCAGTTCACATCCATTTAATTATGCCCTAATTAGAACACTGGTGTCTCATTAAGACAAAAAATCGAACAAAATTCTACCTGTTTTTGAAAGCTTTGCTCCAATTTTGTTTCATATGCACTGAAACTATGTAACTATGTAATGTATACACTATAGTGACTTGTTACAACACTTTTATTCTTTTATATTTTCGATAGATGAAACACTATTGGCCAATAGATGCTCTCTTGTGGTGGATGGCATTATTGTGAATGAGAAGCTTGTAGGTTTTATAGAGGGGTTAATGGTGATGTTTGCGTCGTACTACATTTTCAACATTGTTTATCCGGAAGAGTTAGCTTCGACTTTGGAGTTTATTCAGAGGTTAGTAGAATGTAATGATTTTTATGCTCTCTGTATGATTTCATTTGCCAGTATGTAGTCCATGTTGGACAAATTTCATTGATTGTTTTGAAGGAAGAAATTGATTTCAACCTTGTAAGATAGTCTCTTTAATCTTGACCGTCTCAATCCCCATGTACCATGAACACAAACGCCCTTATCGAATCTGATAATTTGCTTTTGAATGTCACCTTACTCCCTCAGCCACTAATTGAGAAATTTCAGTGACCAGAAATCTTACCAGTAATTGTTGATTTTATATTACTTAGGGAAAATGACCCGAACTTTTGCTAGAACATTTCTGTGAATTAGTGGACTTGTAATTTTAAAATGTATTTTGCAATTCAAACATAATCGTACAACGTACGAAAAATCAACCTCTAAAAACGAAAATTTTAGTTATGACACTGCCATTATGTTCATGCTTTTAAAAATTAATTTAGTGTTTTTTGTCTTTATCATAGATGTTTTCTTGGTCTTAACCCTGAAAAAGGAAGCAAACGAAGCAAAACGAAAGGGAAGAAAAACAATGTCAATCCAAAAGTGCTGTCTTTGGCAAACTCCTTAAAGGACTTTCAGAGTCAATGGACAATCTAGGACTTCAAGACGGTCAAATGTTATAAAACACGTTGAATTCGTATGTACATTTATTGTGGTTTACTGCAGCATTTATTTTTGTTGCGTTAGGTTTTGTTAAGTGCACAGATTAAAAAAAGAAGATAAGTTTGATCATGGAACTATTGGTTGAGATCACCTTAAAATGGTAGATACTTACATAACTATTTGCTTGTTTGATAAGTGTGATGTATTATTGTATTAATTTTATTGTTTTTTTATTGTTCAAAATCTATGAATATGTAGAGTCAAGCTTAAAACATACAATTCATAGTAGTTATAATTAAACGTATGCACATATTACCAGCTGCATGAGTATCAA